AGCTCTGGGAGATTGATGAGCTGTAATGGGCGAGACGAAAGCAGCCATGATTAATGCATGCGCAGATCTCGCTGCTGCGCTCCAGATCCAGTCGGGCTCTTTCCACTGAATGACTGACCCTCGTCTCACAGAGCAGACTCTGACTGTCGACACTAAGTCTGGTCCACTTTGCAGATTACTCAGGCTCAAAACACCAGCTTAGACAGGAAAAGAGAGTGGGACATTTAAAGTGAGCTTTTGTCTTTATGTGCTAGATTAATTTCAATTGATTATACCACAATAATGACCTTTAGATCAGGCAGACGTTACGTTTTATTTGAAATTGAAGTCAGAAATTGTTTTATTCAGCAATGATGCATTAAATTGATCAGTAAAAACATGGATGATGTTACAAAAGAGTTCAGTTTCGGAATGAAAAAAAAAAGTGTTCTTTTAAATTTTCTATTCATCAAGGAATACTGAACAAAAGTTTTTTTATACAAACACTATGCAGCAACTATTTTCAATAATGATAATAATCAGCATATTATACTGATTTCTGAAGGATCATGTGACACTGAAGACTGGAGTAATGATGCTGAAAATTCAGCTTTTCATCTCAGGAATAAATTACATTTTAACAGATATTCAAATGTTGTTTTAAATTGTAATAATATTTCACGATATTACTGTTTTTACTGTATTTTTATTAAAACAAATGCGCGCTTGGTGACCCCAAAAGTGTGAATGATGATATTGTCTAGGGATCTGTGTTATCGCCTGTAAGGTAAAAATCTTAAATCTAATCTCATACTGAGCTACATAATATGAGGTATAATTCATTTTTGTAACACAAACACTGCAAAAAACTAGTCACCAACCAACCCTTCTATCTGCTCAAGAGGCAGGGGAAGAGCAGGAAGCAGGTGACAAAATGACTTTAAAAAATGAGCAGAGTTTATCAAACAATCTCAGTTGCGTCATTCCCAATGCTCAGTCTGACTTCATCCTGTAGAATCTCACTCAGACTCTCATTCAGAACTGAAAGCCATATTGAACCATATTGAAGAGCAATATGGTTTGAGATCAAGGTCTTATTTCTCTTCATGTGAGGCGATTTCTCAAAGGTATTTCTTGTCATGGAAAGACCATGCAAACTGCTTCTCTCTCCACATATTTCATTCCGGAAATATTTGAATATTCACTTTCTGGCTTGTATATTTTATTTGCATAACTAAATGGTAGATACGCGTGTGTGTCCGTGTGCTGATGTGCCTATGTGTGGTGAAACATTTTTTTTTATGAAGCAGACAGTGTGTGGATTTTGTTTGTCAGTTTGATGAAAATGGGTCAGGATGCAGGCCCGAGCGTTTAATATGCTGCCCATGTCACTGCTAACTCTCAGACACGACACATAGCCTGGAATGAACCCTTGTAGCCGCTCTCATTCTCTCACAGTTCCTCTCTCTGGATTTCATGCTTTCTCTTTTTTATGATTTCTCTTTTACACAGATCTATGCATATTTTTCGTCCCCCTTTTTCTGAAAGCTCATAAGTGCATTGATTGACACCCTGTCTGCTCACAGTAGCCAATCAGTGCAATAATATGCATTCCTCCCCCTCATTGGAGAAAAGCCATGTTCCACATGAAGGCGCGTGACGCTGTAATCCAAGCGATGATAGTAGTAAACGTAATAATAGAGGAGCGGGATGACTTTCATTTATAAAGCACATTTTTTATTTTTATAATGTCTTTGTAATGTATTAATTATCACGCGCTACAATAAAAAAAGGCAGTGGCTATTTACACTACGTTAAAATAGCGATAGAGGCTATTACAATTAGATGCTATTTACACTAATTGAAAATAGCGATGGATTCTATTTACACTACGTTAAAATAGCAGGATTTTCTGCTATTTATACTACTTATTGAAAATAGTGGCAATTATCTGCACCTCAGTATTGTAGTACATTATAAAATAGTATGCAATAATAACATATTGAATGTAAATTTTAATTTTAATTCAGATTATTAAATGGATGCCACCTAAAGCCCTCAATACACACCTACCCTAACCCTACCCGATACTTTATTTTCAACTTTTTGAATATTTCCTTAATTTTCATTGAAAATAAATGCTTTTCTTATGTGATTTGAAATTTTAAAAGGGAGAAAAAAGTTCGCCAAAAGGCGTATTCGAACCCGGGTCGATCGCGTCAAAATGAGTGCAACACACGTTTTACCACCTGCACCACTGAAGCTGATGACTGATGGCCGTCTTTTGTAATGTCGACTAGTCCAATCACACGTTGGTGGGCGGAGTTAATGTAAATAGCCTCTGCCAACAAGGCGGGCTATTTGCACTTATGCTGCGTTCAAGTCCCCCTGGGTCGTTCGTACTTACGAGTTGACAAGTCGTAATTACGACGTCAGGTGCGTTCAAGTCAGTTTAGTCGGCACAAGATGGCGGTGTACCTTCTTTTAATAAATTACAAGAAAATACAACAGGGTCTGTTAACTCTGCTTATAGAAAATGAAGAGCAAAGAATTCGCATCAGGTGTGTTTTGCGTTTTTAATATTTTTAAAAAGTAATTTATGAAGCCACTTTAATCTGTATCACATAAAAACTTGTTATTAATTGTTATATTACAAAACATCAATTTAAACAAAAATTTACCGTCACCATTCATTCCTATGATATCCATAAACGGCGATTGAGTGTCGCACAACTCTTGCTGTGTTCAAGTCCTCCTGGGACGTTCGTACTTTTACGAGTTGACAAGTCGTAATTACGACGTCAGGTGCGTTCAAGTCAGTTTAGTCGGCACAAGATGGCGGTGTACCTTCTTTTAATAAATTACAAGAAAATACAACAGGGTCTGTTAACTCTGCTTATAGAAAATGAAGAGCAAAGAATTCGCATCAGGTGTGTTTTGCGTTTTTAATATTTTTAAAACATGCAACATGGCAAATCAAAATATTTTTCACCTATAGGTGCAAAAACGATAGCATTTTGGATTTCATTAACTAGCTGCGTAACAAGAACATGACCAATTTAAGTTTATAGGACAACTAAACTATCAATTTAAACACAAATTTACCGTTAACTACAGACGTTGCTTCCATGGATTCCGCCATGTTTCTCACTGACACGCCCCCAACTCGGAAACTCGAAGCTTAAAGAAAATTTTGAGTTTCCCACTCGTAATAACGACTTTGTGGTGGCATTCATGTGCGTTCAACTCGTAAATACGATCTATCCGACATGACTTGAACGCACCATTAGTGTAAATAGACAAAAAAATACACTTCGTAAAAAAAAAAACAAGTAGGCCTATACTAATACTAACAGTATATGCGTTTGGTTCTAATATATTTTAGTAGGCTATAAATATGTGGCTATGTTACAGCTCCCACTTTAAGCTCTTGTCTTTTTCTCCTTTTCCATCTCTCCAATCTTATTCTGCTCACAGGTGATTGGAGACAAGTGGATAGCGCACGCCTCCCGCTTTTGTTGCAGTTTGCTGATTTTTCTAAAATAACTTCTGTTTTTGCTTTTCAAATAAAAGAGTGGTTTTAGTTTAATATGTTGTAGGCTCATTTATTGGTAATAATATTGATGATAATAAATAATCGAATAATATTGGGCTTGTTTTTGAAGCTGCGGTTGCTTATTTGTCTCCCGAGAGTTGGCAACAGTGTGATTAGTTGGATTAGTTTCAAACTATTATAGAAAAGCCATTAGGAATCTTGAGCATATTCCTTAAAGGGACAGCTCACCCAAAAATGAAAGTTCTGTCACCATTTACTCACCTTCATGTTGTTCCAAACCTGCATGCATTTCTTTCTTCTGTTGAACACAAAAGAAGATATTTTGAAGAATTTTGAGAGATTTGGTGCCCATTGACTTCCATTGTACAGAAAAAAATTTACTAAATATTATTTTATGTTTCATAGAAGAAAGAAAGTCATTCGATAACCTCACTTTATGACTTTTTTTCCACAAAAATTATACTTATCTAATATCATCAAAAAACAAACAGCTGCTTTAGCTATGCATTCTTGTTGTTGTTGTCGTAGTTGTTATACAATGCTAAACATTTGTGCTTGTGAGTAGTGTCCACTTATTTTATTGGAACAAAATAGATATTTTGCAAATTTGTGTAAAACTGTCTACCTAAGGCAGTCCAATTAAATAATAAGTCAAATTAAAGATGTTAAACCTGTGGCTGCAGTTCATTTTAAAACGGAAGGTCAGGTCAAGTGCGTTGCATTGAGGAATACAGTATTTCAAGCCTCTTTTGCTTTTATTCCTCTGATCCGCAGCTGAATTTTCAGCATCATTACTCCAGTCTTCAGAGTCACATGATCCTTCAGAAATCATAATAATATGCTGATTTGCTGCTCAAGAAACACTTCTGATTATTATCAATGTTGAAAACAGTTGTGCTGCCTATTTTTAATACCATAATACATTATTTTTTCATAATCCTTTGATGAATAGAAAGTTGAAAAGAACAGAATTTATTTAAACTAGTTTTTTTGTAGCAGTGTGTAAGTCTTTACTGTCACCTTTGATCAATTCAGCGTGTCCTTGCTGAATAGAAGAATAAATAACTAAATATGCATATTGCAGAAATAATAAGAGTAGTATGTTAGTATGCTATTCTGAATGTAGCCAGTGAGAGAGGAAAAAAAAACAAACATTAAACTCTTAAAAATCGTGATTGGGAGACACTCAAAGACGTAAATTGAGATGAGTTTGAGAACTGGACGGATATGTGGAGAGACGGCTGTAATTGCGTGACTCTGAACAGTGAGTTCTTCTCCTCTCAAGACAGATGATGAGAAGCCCAAAGCCAGTGGCTGTGTCCAGAATCACATACTACGACTACTCCTACTATTTCTGTATTATATATACTAAGCACAGTATGCAAAATGATGTATGCACAGAATATCTGGATGACCTACTTCGTTTGCCAAAAATTGCAGTATAAAAATATGTGTGGCACACTGTAACCCACAATGCATGTGTTCCAGTGAACCAGAAATAATACAACATCTGTGATTTTTAACTTAGCTGACTTATTATGTTTTTTTGATCATAACAAAAGTTAATATTTTAATACAAAGCGAATTCAAAGAATTTGGAAATGTCTATCATTGCATGGTGTTTCATATACTTCATAAAAATAATATTCATTGCATAGTGCATAGTAAGCAGTATGCTAGCATTCCATTCTGAACAAAGCCCCTCTCTCTCTCTCTCTCTCTCTCTCTCTCCTCCCATCTCTGTTAATGATCTTCTCGGCCTGCCGAGCTGAATCTGAGCGATGCCCACCGACAGCGTCACTCAGGCGGAAAGACACACACACTCACACACAGACATATAGAAGAGAAGAATATCGCAGACCAACATTTATCCAGAATATATGAACGAACCCACACTGACACACAATCTCTCCATCACATGTGCATAAGCAGACCTCAGCAATTCAGCGCATGTGGAGTTCAGACTCTCGAAGTCATGCAAACACACTCGCATAATTGTGCCAGAAAACACACACAAAAAGCCACATATAGTGTACAGAAAGCAACGTGAAGCAGTAGCACAGTGATAACCGACATCGACTCGATATATTATTGTACATGTTCTTTAGTGTTCTCAATGAAATATATGGTAGGGGTCAAAAGTGAGGTCAGATTGTGTGTATTATGACTCAAGACGATGCCACTGTATCTGCTCATTGAAAAAGAATTGATTTAATACAGTTAACATGGCTTTATATCTTCTCACTGGACTCCTTGAGAAGATCAGTGGTTCGTCATATTATAACGTTTTAGATCAGTTTTAGATGTAGAAAACAGTTCATGTCTCCTAAAACATAGCATCGTGTACTCACCATTTTCATCGTCCCAAGTCTATATGATTGCGTTCTTCTGCGGAAGACAAAAGCAGACATTATTCACATGTTCTTACAATGAATGTGAATGCGTTTTGAGACTGTTGAGCTTCAAAAATGACTAAAGGTTACTATAAAAGTACCATAAAGCTGCTATTATGCCAAGTCTTCAAAAGTCATGATAGCTGTGTGAGGAACAGACTGACATCTAAGTTACTGTACACTGAAGATCTTCCCCTCTTTTGAAACTCACAAATCTCTTTTGCGCTTGTGCGTATTCACATTTTGCGCAAAGTTTGAATATTTTCATACTGCAGTAGTGTGTTGAATGAATATATATATATATATATATTTGATGAGACTTTGTAGCATTTTTTTCTAATGGAACATATTCAAAAGAAATATGCCAGTCACTCACAACACATGCAAAATTAAAGATAATTTTTCACTAAAGAGTTTTCTAAAGTGTAGGTGGTATCTGTAATGTCATAGTATTTGAATGAAAAATTACAAAAATTATATGTATGTCAACTCTAAGATTATAAAACCGGAGAATCACACTGTTTTGTCTATAGGTCAAGAAATATTTTGTCTATAGGTCTTTAGGAGTCTGTCCAGTGTCATATATGTATATTAAGTGATATGCGAGTGTGTATGCGCTTGAGGCTGTTGAATATTCGTAGTGTGTGTGTGTGTGTGTATAGAATTCAGCTTTTTAATGAAGTTCTCCGTTAAGTCTCCCAAAGACTCCGCATTCCTCATACCCCCCCCATACACACCCCCGAGCGCACACACACAACTAAATGACCCCTCCCCCTTTCGCAACATACACGCTCACGCACACAAACACTTAAAACACACATTCCAAGCATCCTCATTAGCAATTCATGAGCTGAGTCTCATTAGACACTAAGTTTTAGTGCGGGCCTCTGAAGTCGATGGCTAGAGCTGTTATTAATATTTCATATGTCTTCCCATTGAGGAGCTAAAAAAAAGAGAAGTTGCTTCGCTTTGGCTACAAAGTCGCTCGAGCTCTCCTCTTTTACCCCTCTTCCTCTATTTAGACTGCTTTTATGCACTGCCTCTTTCTTCGGCGCTCCATCTCTCCGCCCCTCTCTCAGCGCACAGACCCTAACTCAAACTGACTTAATTGGGCTGTCTTTGTTCGAAGAAATGTGGACCTACCTTACTTTTCCCATAGATTCAGACCAAAGATTGAGACGTAACCCATAGGAAAGAAAAAAAATCACAAATGAGATCTCTTTAATATCTCTAAAAAAGTCATCTCGGATGTGTCTCCTCCAGCATTTCAGAAAATATCTCGCAAGATATTTGGCAAGATTCCAAAGTCTGCAATCAAAAGTCATTAGAGATCTAAAATGAACATTTGTCATCAGATGAACGGAGCTGCTATACACATTCATTATATTCAGTTATTACACGGCTCCGTGGAATACTTGATTCTGATTGGTCAGTCGCGACATTCCGAGGTATGTTATCTCGTTACCTCGACAACAACCGGTAAAAACGAATAACACAGGCTGATCTGGGTAACTGAAGTCGGCACTGTACTCTTGCCAGGAACAGTTTTTCTTGGTGGAAGCTTTGCGTTTGTTTAGCTAATAAAGTACTAAAACTCGATTCAAAATTGTGTACAATTACCTGTTATTTAATTATGTCATCCTGGTATCGCGGACTGGCTCTCTGGTTTCATACAAACACAGCTGCTGCCGTTTTGCTACGATTGTTTTGTACGCTGTAATGGATTATAAGATAACTAACAAACTGGTAAGATTTTAAAACATTTTCGTCTTAAATCTTTTATCGCCATAATTATTTATGTTGTGAAATGTTGTGTAACTGCACCGTATCTCTTAAATGTCCGTCTAGTTTGAACTTGCCGCTTGTTAGCAACTGTGTTCACAGAAGTTTTGCGTTCAAATATTTCAAGTCAAATCAATATTTAGTGTCTAATTATTTACTTATGTGGCAAGTAGCTGTGTAATAAGCGGGATAGTGTACATCCAGCAGGTTTGTATTCGCAGAACAACCCCCTTCAGGGTGATACAAGACCCCTCCCTGTCGGGGGTTATTCTGCGATAACAACCGGCTGGATGTACATTCTCCCTTACTTGTTAAATCTGATGTCACATGTAATCGTTTACGGCTCAGAGTGCGTTATCAGATCCCAGAAGCAATCAAAAATGGTGCTAATGTACACTCACTACCGAAAAATCTTGATCCTAACATTTATCTCCATACTGAAATCTCAAGTGGCCAGACAGTGATTCATCTCTTCTGAATCATTAAAATATTGGTGTATGGGACGTCATTAGCCTGGAGACTATAGCGTACACTATACACTTTTGATAAGTTATGGCGCTTTTCCACTGCATGGTACGGCACGGTTCACTTTCGGGGGGTTTTCCACTGGGTACAGTACCTGGTACCTGGTACTTTTTTTAGTACCACCTCGATTGAGGTTCCAAGTGATCCGTACCGTTACCAAAACGTGACGTGTAAACTCTGCTGATTACTGATTGGCCGGAGAGAATCGTCACTACCTGCGTCACTGAACTTGAGACACAAACACAACAGAACCGCTAGATTTAAATCAGCACAGCCAGCGAAGGATCGAACACAACTGTTTTGAACGAGCACACCTTTTTTTAACAACCAAAAAATGGCTGTTTCGTGGTCTGTTGAGGAAGTACAGACGTTCTTCTCGTTGATAGCAGAGGAGCGGATCCAGCGAGAGCTTGATGGGGCGACGCGGAATGAAAAAGAAGAGTCGCAGCAGTAGAGGCGGCACAACTATAACAACATGTGAATAACCCGCCCACTCTAAAGCGGTACTAAACTGCAGTAGAAAAGCAAACCGAGCCGAGCCGAGTCGTGCCGAGCTGAGTCGTACCACGCAGTGGAAAAGTGCCAATAGTTTAAATGAAAAGTGCTTGTGAATGACTAGTAGTAGTAGTATAGGCTTGAACCTGGAAACAGTATTCAATATGTCACACCTTAACAAGCGGGTAGCTCTATCTTCTTAGCCTGTCAACCAATGTCTTGTTTGTGCCTGCATTTCTTAAATGAAACTTTTAGGAGAAATGTTGGAGACAACTTGTAAATTAAGCATGTCTGAGAACTGTTTTCGGGAAAATTCTTTCTTGTATCCCAGCCTAATGTGCAGAGACAATGTTAAGCAAGCCATTTAAGCAAAGTTGGTTTCACCCAAAAATCTCAGTGGTGCATTCAAAACATTGCTCTTATTGTTTAAAAATCTGAGTTTCCCGAAAAAACATCGCAAGCAAAAAGTAGATCGTTGAAACCATTGGCTTGTGATGCAGTGGTCTCAACAATCAACTTAGACTTACAATGCTTTGGGAGATCAATCCCAGGCTGACACCTCAACACCAGCTCAAAAAATGGTGCGAGTTTGGGGCTGGTCTGTCTGCTGACGGGCCAGTGGCTGACGGCAACATATTTGAAAACAATCATTATTTTATATATAATATAAGTCAATGGCAGACATAGAGCAGAGCGGCATTCATGTTGAATTAGAGAGATTCAGCTAATGTGGGAGAATCCCAAGTGAACCCTTTAACCCCTCTAAAGAGGTTGGGGGGAACAGAGGGGCTCGGGCACGGCAGACACGCTGTGCTCTGGAAATAAACACATGCATGAATAAGTCAATAGTGGTCATGTCTCGAAATGTGTGCATGAACAAATAAACGAATATGTGCGTGTGTGTCCATGTGGATGGCCAGACTCCCGTTCTTGACAGACGCCACATTCCCTGCGAATGAGAAACAGACCCGGACAGAGGGATGAGAGACAGATAGATGTCTTTAACAGCCTGATTCGAGTCTGTGCGCAGCCGAGGAAAGAATTCCGAGAGCCCCCTCCTTCCCAAACCAACTTTATTCCCACTTTATCTGTGGGAGAATATGTGCCAGTGCTCCTCTGTCTCTCATTTAAACAGTGCTGTCATGAGAGCCATAATCAAACCGAAAAACCTCCCAAAGGCAGAAGAGCAAGGCAGTATGGAACCAATTGTGATCTAACGGCAGCCAAAAAAGCCATTTACATCTGAGACAGAAGATTCACTGGGTTTCTCTCCTCATTTGACCCTCTTCTCCTGAGCGTGATCAATATCTTCTCCTTCGTCTTCCCACGTTTTCGGTTGTTGTCTCGTTCCAGGATGTTGTTTCCACAGCAGCACCGCTGCAATTTTGCAGGGGTGTTGATTTTTGTTGAGATGATGTTTCTTGTGTCTCCCCTGAATTTGTGTTTAATGAATCTTTTGCGCAGTGCTGCATAATTAATTTGTATTCTGTCAAGTCTTTTATCAGACACACCTGTCATGACACGTCGCTTATATCAGGTGTAGATTTGATAAATGGGAGCTGCGATGTGCTGTAGCACTTAATGAGGAAGCACGGAATCCAGTGTGAGAAACGTTCACAAAAGCCAGGCGGGTGTTAGGGTACTTTAACGAGCGGGGCCGGGTCGCTTTGTGACACAGTGCATGCTGGGAGGTGGCGTTCGGTGCGCTTGAGTGTTCGCTTGGAACAATTAGAGGTAGTTTGCGGCCATCTTGTGCAGTTGCCGGCGGACTAGCACAATAGGACGCGGCGCGGTAAGCCGGCGAGTCATTTCATGGGAAAGAGCGCCTGAAAATGGCGCTCCGGAAGGCGTCCTCGCTCAGTTTCTTTACAAGCGCCTCTTTTATTTTCCCTCTTTCGAACTCTATCAATTTTCCCAGCACATTCTCTCCCCTGGTTTTGTGGTTTGTCTGCCACCCCTCCTCCATTGCTACCCTGCTTGCTGTGTTCTTTATAAAGTCTTTCTCTTTCAACATCATACCCATAACCCCCCCTACACCCCCAACACACCCTCACACGCACTCTGACTCTCCTACATTCAATTCCCTGTCTTCCTTTCTTTCTTTCTGTCTTTCTCTGCCTACTATGGTCAGGTCTCATGGGGAAAGACAGTTGGCAGGAAGCAGGCTTGCTGCCATAGCAACAGGATCACTCCCTCTCCCACAGGTCTCCTTAGCAACCGGTAGCTTGGCATTGTTGTAATGAGCGGACCCTATGTGCCAGGCTAACAGAGCACGAGTGTGTGTGTGCATGTATGTAACCGAGTGCATATTTATGTGCTATGTCTTATTGTGAAAAAGGGCCGTGAGATCCAAGGCGTTTTTGGGTCTGTTTTGTGTATTCAAATCATATATGAGTCTTTTGTCCTTTTTCATCAACTTGCATATTAAAGGATACATCTTAAACACATTAATGTAACAGGTTTTAATTAACAATCATGTGACCAGGTGCTTCCCAATCTGTTTGGGGTTTGATTAAAGCGATCAGCTCAATCCATGCCCTGCAACCGAAATAATTGATGCGTGACTTAATTAATGATTTACTAATTAATTGTGCATGCTCTGCCTAGAACAGAGGATGACTTTGTGTTCGATGATAAAGTCAGTCATAGTTGTGCACACTCGTGTTTTTGCTTGCGGAGAGAGCAGCAACACAAAAGACTAAAGAAATGCCATTTGTTTGTTATGAATCAGTAGGCTACTTTTTTTCCTACACATTCTCTCACTTTTATTTACCTTCATAGTTAAAAATTTGGTCAATTTTAGTTATTCAAATGTAATTCAATTACTCGTGCATCAAAACCCACACAGCAAAAAATTATTTTATTAATCTGTATTTTTGTCTCATTGTTTCAGTGAAAAACATTCAAACAATCTTAGATTAAGATAAATAGTAACACTTTATCTTAAGGACCAATTCTCAATATTAACTAGCATGCATAACATATTGGCGGTTTATGGGGGCTTATAAAGCACATATTAATGCCTTATTCTGCATGAAAATATTATAGATCCCTTAACCCTACCTAAACTTAACAACTAACTTAATAAGCAGCAACGTAGGCATAGTTAATAGTTAATCAATAGTGAGAATTGGACTTTAAAATAAAGTGTGACCAGATAAATTTATTATAATCAAGATTATAATATTAATAAGTATTTTTCATACTTTATTATATTTTAAGTAAAACATAAATTTGGTTATATTTGTACTTAACACATGAAGAAAAACATTGCCAGTGGGGTAAGCAAAATAAGTTTTCATATCTTATGCAATTTTGCTTCTCATGTGAATTTTATCTTGCTTTAAGGATATTCAGATTGGTTTAATGGGAAAAAACTAAAACAAATACTTATTAATATATATATATATATATATATATATATATATAAA